TAGTTATAGTCACATCTGAAAACTACTTGTTCCAACCACCTATCTGAAGGGAGAGTCCAGTATCCTTCTCTCCCTCTCTGGCCTCAGGAGAGAAGGATATTCTTTGGACATTGAGCATTCTCTGAAATTACTGAATATATCAGTCATTCTCTAAACATTCACTGAAATTATCGAACATTCTGGAAGGCTCCCTGACATGGTAGCCACCCCTCTCTGGCCTCAGGAGAGAAGGATATTCTTTGGACATTGAGCATTCTCTGAAATTACTGAATATATCAGTCATTCTCTAAACATTCACTGAAATTATCGAACATTCTGGAAGGCTCCCTGACGTGGTAGCCACCAGACACATGGTGCTACTGAGTATTTGAAATGTAGCTAGTGCGACTGAGGGACTCAATTTTCAATTTTAGTTAATTTAAATGTTAATTTAAAACAACTACTCAGTTTATTTATGGGAAAACTTTTCAACATTTTTGAAACAACTTGGGTATGAGAATCTACTTTTCTAAAATGTAAATTTTATAAAAATTTAAATGTAGATCAAGTATGTCTGATAAAAATTTAGTACCCGCATTGAAATATTCTGAAGTGTAAAGTACACATTGGAATTTAAAGAAATAGCATGAAAAATGTCATTTGTAATTAATATTTGATATTAATAAGGAGATTTTTATATTGATTAAATGTTGAATGATAACATCTTGGATATATTGGGTTGCATAAAATATACTAAATTTAACTTGTTTCCTTTTTTAAAAAAATAGGACTAGAAAACTGAATTACAAATGCAGGTCACATTATATTTCTATTGGACAGCACTGTTCAGTCACCTTACGGACAACTTTTACTTGCTAGCCTTGTGGTAAAATCATTGCTGTATAAAAAGATTAAGACAAGAAAACACTCCTCCCTGTTCTTAAGGAGTTGACATTTTAAAAGAAATGTCATAGGCTTGGTTATAATATTGAAACCAAACTTAAAAGCAAAATAAAAAGTAAAGGCATATAAAACTTTCTCATGGAAAGTAGCTGTTCTGTTATAGGAATAGATTACTCATATTAAATTACAGAAAGGGAGTTAAGAAACAATGTTCTCCTCTTGAAGAGCCTATAAAGCTTGCTCTGCCTGAACAACGGAGCAAATGCTTTGCCAATGTCAGCTTTCTAGATGTGAATGGGGTAACAGAATCGGGCAATTAGATCTTCGAAGGGGTCTCATCATCTACTCTGATTATCACCTATCTTATTTTACAGATATGGGGAAATGCCGTCTAGCCAGCTTAGGCGACTTGTTTCAGGTCAGAAACGATTTTGTTCCTACTCAAAGAAAAAAACCGCCATTAATTCTCAAATATAATTTATGTTCCTATTAGTGAAAAATTTTCCATCACTGCAAAGCTCCTATGTTAAAAACAAGTGGTTCTCAGATGTACCAACTCTTCTTGATACTTGGCCTCACATTTCCTTCCATACGTCTAAATAGTATGTGTATACTAGTATTTCTTGGATGATCAATTTTGGGTGTTTTCTGCTGACATCTTGCCATGTAGATGGCATTCTACCTACATCCCCATCTAATCTCTCACTGGACAAATCAGTAATACTCAATGTAACACTGCTCATTTACAGCCAGGTTGTACCGCACAATTAAGCGCCTTTTCTTCATTTTTCCAAAAGCGTGTCATTTACAGCATTCTCTCATTTGCCTGGGTTTCCACATTCCCGTTGTTATTTTTTCCCCAGATGCTACTCTCTCTGCATATGCTTACAGTAACATTTTCCGTATTCTTGTAATATACTAGTTCTGCTCGTCTTTTCACCTGGGACACTTCTCTCCTGGAACCCACTGTTCTCTGGCCCCACCGTGACTGGTTGCCTAGAAGTGTGATACAGAGTTGTCAGCTCGGGGCTCGTCTTACAAGGCAATCCAGTGATTTGAAAAGTTTCCTTCCCAAGTCAGCTTAAAAACTATCTTTTATTTATATTTACCCATATACTTTACACAACAGCAAAACACTACCACCAACACCACAAACGCTCTGCACGTTTAAAACACACTGATCTGAAGCATCTTGGTTGCCCCTCCGGCAAACGCTATCAAAAGCCGCAGGGTGCTGAGCCCCATTGCTACCCAGACCTGGAGTCCGTGGTTGGCTGATGTCAGTCAGCATTATCTCCAAGGTTACTTTTGGTTGAACTCCTCAATACTTAGCTCATCACTGTTGGAAAAGAGAATCGAGCGGCTTTTTTTTTTTTTTTTTTTTTTTTTTTTTTTATGTCAAGGAAATGTGGTCCCATTTGGAATGTAAGGCCAGGGTTTCATTTCTATGGTGGTGGTGATGAGGGCATCCTGGTTCCCACTGATCTGATCTGTTCATCGAAAGAAAGCATCAGTGTTAAGCTGACCGCTGACAAGCTTCCAAATACGGAGAGAGCCATGTCAAGTTCTTGCAGAAACACAGAGTTCTACTTCTGGGAGCTACCTAGAGACCATCTGTCAAGTCTAAACTCCACAGTTTGCAGAAGAGAAAACAGGCTTAGAGGTTTACCCAAGACAAAAAAGGGGCCGGTAGAAGCTTGTAAGTTGGCCTCTAAAAACATTTAGAAAGATAAAAGTAACTGGTTGCTAACAGGTGAATTATGGTCTTACAGGTGGATGTTGTTGTTTTGCACAAGTTACACTTCCTGGAAGAAGCAAACTCATTTAAATATTTATATTGATAACTCCAACTCGGGCATTTATCCTGTAATACTACAACTAAGAAGCACCAAATCACAATATTTCTACATTGTTTTTCTTTTCTTTTCTCTTTCCTTTAATCCCATGTAACACAAATTTTGAGAACTTATTCGTTATTTACCACCTGGCTTTGGAAAGTACTTGGAGCAAATTATACGTTAATGCTAATGGTTAGCCTGGGTCTAGAAAGACCCAGCTAGTCACAGGTTGCTGAACAGTGAATTAAGGGCATTTTCACTTCTGGCTTGGAGACAGCCTTGCCAAAGTCCTTGGACACGGGACTGAAGACACTGACTTATCTGTGTAAAGAGAAAGTGGCCAGTTACACGAACTAATGAAAAAATGAAATAGAATTGCTCCTCCTTTGTTTCGGACCTGTTTTTTAGCATCTGTTCAAATTCTCCAAATTATAGTGAGGCCACTCTAGACAGCCCTGCTAATGCACAATAATGTTATCATTTATATTCATTGGCTTACACATGCCCACGGATGGCATTCTAAACACCAACGAGCTAAAGCCCTCTTCTGACACCTATCGCCCGCTTTCCATATGCTGCCTTCACAGCCAGTGCAGCGTGTTCATTATATGGTGCTAATTGTTTCCCTTTGCTTATTCTAGAAATTACTACTTGTTTTCTTTTCTTTCTTTTTTTGTAAACAACTGAAGTGAAAGAAAATGATAGCTTTTTCTACCACCACATCAACAACTTTCATTTGGAAAAATCATTTGCAAATATTAGCTTCTGGAGCCTTAGAACCATTCCAACAGATTAAAGCTGTAAAACTTCATTTCCTCACTAGAAACATACTACTTTGAACAGCAAGATCTCAACCTTAAATAAGATTCTAACGAAGGCAAAACATAGTTACGTGTTTGGGTTGCTGAGCAACCGATAAGGCATCTTTCTAAATCTGAAGCAAATAAACTTATTCTAACTGAAATCTAAGAACAATATTTTATATGGAAATAATATTAGCTAAGGGATAAATCTAGAGAGCTCTGAGAAGCATGGTTGGTTTTTTTCCCAGTGTAATGATAGAATAATTATACCAAATGTGGAGAGACTGAAATCCTTTTAACACTCTTATCTTCAGATAGTCCACATCTTAATGAGGTCACTCAAGAGCTAAAATCCTTAAAATAATGAAAAATATCTTCTCAAAATATAAAATACATACAATAATAGTAAGCATGGTTTGTTCTAAGGAGGAAGGGATTTTATTGATAATATGAAAAGCTAGGGGCACCTGGATGGCTCAGTCGGTTAAGCGTCCGACTTCGGCTCAGATCATGATCTTATCGTTCATGAGTTCAAGCCTCGCATCAGGCTCTGAGCCTGGAGCCTGCTTCAGATTCTGTGTCACCCTCTCTCTCCTCCCCTCCCCTACTCACACTGTGTCTCTCTCTCAAAGTAAATAAACATTAAAAAAAAGAAAGAAAAAGAAAAAGAAGAAGAAAAGCCCTCCAGGTTCTCAAATCCCTTGTCTCAAAAGAAAACTCAGTAATGATTCCAACTTGGGTTGTCCTTATTTAAAATTTTAGTATACTTAGGTATATTTTTATGTACCTTATTCTCAGCTTTCAGAACTTCCATCTGAGTACACAGGAGTTGTCATACAACCTGCTTGGGATAACAAGGTAAAGAGCTAACCAGGCATTTGGGGGGTGCAGTGCGGGGAAAGGAAGATGAAGCAGAAAGCTGAGCGGTAGAGCTGTCCCTCTGGGTGGGCTTGGAGGAGCAAAGCAGGTGGCTGCATGGTCAGCTGGGCCCAGGCCTTGCCCCTGTGGCTGGTACAGGGGCGGAGCTTGGTCTGTACCTAAAGCAGCCTAGGGAAGAGCCACAGTGTGCCCCACCTTTGACTCTATGAGTGAAGCTTTCCTTGCTGTGAACAAGGCTGTCTGGCCCTGGTGGGGGAAAGACATTCAAATACCTATTTCGGGGCACCTGGGTGGCTCAGTCGGTTAAGCGTCTGACTTTGGCTCAGGTCATGATCCTACAGTTTGTGGTTCGACCCCCACGTCAGGGTCTGTGTTGACAGCTCAGAGCCTGGAACCTGCTTTGGATTCTGTGTCTCCCTCTCTCTGACCCTCCCCTGCTCATGCTCTGTCTCACTCTCTCTCTCAAAAATAAATAAGCATTAAAAAAAAAAAAAAAAAAAAAAAGAAATACCTATTTCAAAGGGTGAGTGGGGGGTATTAAGGAGCAATCCTCCTTTTCTACCCCAGGCACAACTATGAAAGTTGGGGTCAGTCCTACATGAAGAGGGGGTCTGCTTCTTCTTGGAGAAAAGAGCCAGGATTAGGGGGACAGTTTCCTGCCGCACAGGAGTCGAGGAATGCCCTTGGAGCAGAGCGCAAGTCACATCAGTCTTCCTCCTCAGGATCTGCGAGAGGTAGAGAGGATGCTCCCAGAAGTGATGCATCTTCCCTGATGTCAAAATCAGTCTTGTTGGGTGTATTAGTTTCCTACTGCTGTGACAAATGACCACAAACACAGTGGCCTAAAACAATGCTAATTTATCATCTTAAAGTGTTAGGGGTCGGAAATCTGAAATGTGTGTCACCGGGCTAATGTCATAGGTGTCAGCAGGGCTGTGCTCCTTCTGAAGACTCTAGGGGACAATCTGTTTCCTTGGCTTTTCCAGCTTCTAGATGCAGCTCACATTCCTTGACTTCTGGCCACATCACTCCAACCTCTGCTTCATTTTTGTCAAACCTCCTCCTCTCTCTCTGATCCTTGGGTCTCCCCATCTCAAGATTCTTCAATTAGTCACATCTGCCAAGTCCCTTTTGCCACACAAGACAGCATATTCCCAGATTCTGGAGGTCAGAATATGGATACCTCTGGGGTGGGGGCATTACTCTGCCTATCACAGTAGGCGGAGCTTGGCAGTAGGCTGTACTTCTGGAGTAGGCTTCCCAGAGGCGTGTGATGGGAGCCAGCTCTTCCCTGAACACAGCGGCGGCTCGGATTTTCTCAGATGTTTACATAGCTTGGAGAGTATTTACAATTTCCCTAAGGTCTTCATCCTGCTTGAATAGACTGACTTCAGCCAGGGGCTGATTTCAATAAACATGGAAGGCATTATTTCTCAAAGTTGAGAAGGATAGCTCTTAACATCCACCGCACCCCCCACCCCAAATCCCAGCACACTGGCAGGCATTCAGCAGTGAGAAAGATCTTGGGGTGAGAATTCTAAGTAAGGCAGTGCCACACGCTCATTGTAAAACACTGGCCAGGAAGGATGACAGGCCTGGTCCATTTTGGTATGAAAAAAAAGTCGCATGTGTGGGTGTTGTTGGCATAACAGTGATAATTTGCCTCCTAGGGCCAAAAATAGCTGTCACCAGCATCTGAGAATGCAAGAGCTTCCTAAATAATTACCCACTCCATCTCCGCTGCCTCTAGACCCTTCACAAGCCACACGGAGATACGCATGCTTCTAGTCCCTCCAAGAGAACTGCTTGTGGAAAGGATAAAAACAAGAGCCAGCAGATTAGCCATGTTTGGAATGGAAATCCAAGGGCATGCCTGCTCCAAAACAGCCAAATCCTGAAAGATTTTAAACAAGGTTAAGCTGCAGCCAGATTAACATCTCCCTGCAGTAGGGGTTACTGGGTTGTCTGGAAGGCCAAGACCCAAATGATCTGACAAGAAGGGAGAGTCTAAAACGCAGCTGACCTGTGTGTGTATCGGGCCAAGGGTGCAAGCTGGAGGCAAGAATAAAAGTCCTTAGGAGTTTATTTATAATAAATATTGATACTGGAGGTGGAGCTACTGCTCCAGCGTGCACACGCGTGTGCACGCACGCACACGCACTCTACTGCCTAGTCGACCAGCCCTCATCAAACCAAAGCCAGAGGTTAATATTGAACAAATGAGCGACCTTATTGTGGGGAGTGGCCACGTGACAAAAACTGCACTTCAAAGGCAACAAGACCGAAACTACGGCCCTCGGGAGGAAATCCAGGCTATGAAAACAAGTTTTACATATTCCCCGCGGACTGGTGACACTGAAAGACAAAAAGATTCATTTGCCAGGCTCACTAGAGTAGACAGCAGTGTATAGTTTTCACTCATGGCTGTCAACCATCTGGTTTTCACCTGCATCGTCCAGATGGAAGTTTATGTTCAATCAACCTACAGCTCTTCACCGAGTGCTCATACGACCTGTTAAGAGACAGCATGAGACTGTGGAAAGTCAGCCTGATCTGCAACAGTTAGAACCGGTTTAAAGTCCTGCTGTATCATTTCAGATGTGTGATGTGGACATTTAAGCCCACTGTGTCTCAGTTTCTTCCTCTCTCTGATGAAATGAGTAATAATACTTTTATATAATATACAGCTTTATAATTATAGATTTTAATAATTTACTAAACTCAAGAATGTATTATTATTACTACTTTGGCTACTTTAAAATGTTGACGAAATAACGTTAAAGTTTTTATCCTATTAAGTATTATAAAAATTATATGGTACTATTATAGAGTGAGGTAAATGTTGGTTTCTAGATATAGAATCTAGTTAGGGAAAGGTGGTACATATAAGAAATATCCAAAGACAAAAACTGTCTTTAGCACAGTGTTAGAGAGTCCTGTGGTCAATGAGAGTTCCTGATTCCATGTACTTAACACAAAAGTTCGTTGCGGTACATATCATGAACAAAAGTGAGAAAAGCAGTTGTCAGAAAAAAAAAAATAAACAAAACAAAAACTTCAAAGAGACCTGGAGATAGGGAAGCAGAAAGAAACTGGGAGAACATTCCAGAATGTGAGAGATTTGTGAGCCAATACAGAGATAGTGTGACGTAAATCTGCTTCCTGGAAGCAAGGAAACTCCACATTGCAGACCCACCTAAGACCCTCTCCCACAAACCATGATGCGAAACAATACAGCAATCTCCACCAAAACATAAAATATACACACCTTTTAATACAACACTTTCACTTTTAGGACCTTATCCTATAGATGTATATGTATACACATATGTGAATAATATTTACAAAGATGTTCACTCAGCCCAGTTTATATACGTGATGGAAACTGAATTTAAAACCTAAAAATATAATCCAAAAGGCCATCAATAGGAGACTGGCTAGGAAACTGTGGTGTAGCCACACTGAAATATTTCACAAATTCTATAAAACATGAAGTAGATAATAGCTCCATCTGTACTGATTTTGAATAATTGTGAAGGCTTATTGTTAAGTGAAAAAAGTAAAATCTAAGACCTGTGTGTGCAAAATGCTACCACTGGTGGAAAAAGAAAGACCACATACAGTGTGCGTGTCAATGCACAGACTGCCTGTAAAAAGGCAGTCACTAGCAACAGAATAGGTAGAGGAGTTAGAGGGGAGGCATCCCATTCCCTTTTGAATTCCATATTATACTAATGTGTTACTTATTCAAAAATTACTTTAGGGTCACCTGGGTGGCTCAGTCAGTTAAGCATCTGACTCTTGATTTCAGCTTAGGTCACCATCTCACGGTTTGTGAGTTCGAGCCATGTGCTGGGCTCTGTGCCAATAGTGAGGAGACTGCTTGGGATTCTCATTCTCTCTCTCTCTCTCTCTCTCTCTCTCTCTCTCTCTCTCTTCCTCTCCCCCACTCATTCTCTATCTCTCATTCTCTCACTCACTCTCTCTCAAAATAAATAAATAAACTTAAAAAAATTACTTTAGAAGTCCCATCTAGTGGCTCAGTGTTTTCAGAGACTCCAGATAACTTTGCACATTATGACTTCAATTTAGGAAGCCCTGATACACAGTGTGTCCTGAAGAGCCTCTAATTAAAATTGCTTCTAGGTAGATAACAACACAAAATAAAGTTGTCCAACACAAGGTCTAGTCCAGTTCCCTGTGGACCTTATTTAGTGATTATAGACTAAATAAGACTGGACACGCAGCCTGCTATATAGACTGAATGGTGCCTACCCCCACATTCATATATTGAAGCCCTTACCCCCGATGTGACTGTTTAGAGACAGAGCCTTTAAGAAGATAATGAGGGTTGAATGAGGGTGTAACAGTGGGAGCCTATACCTATAAGGCTGGCGTCCTTATCAGAAGAGGGACAGATGGCAGAGCTCACTCGCTCTCACCATGTGAAGATACCACGAGAAGGCAGCCGAGGATGTCTCACCAGAAACCAACCCTAACGGCACCTAAATCTTGGACTCCCATTCTCCAGAACTGTGAGAAAATACATTTCTGTTGTCTAAGCCACCCAGTCTGTGGTGCTTCGCTATGGTAACCCGAGCTGACTAAGACAGGTGCCATTGTGGACTCTTGCATATGGTGCTCTGGCCTTTAAGCCTGTGCTTACAATCCTCCAGCCAGAGGAAAGCTGAGCTCAAGTGGTGGCGGCAATGCCTGGCCTGCCAAGGAGCACTGCTGAGACACTGACACACCACTCGGTAAAAGTGAAAGCCCCTGAGCCACTAGCTCAGGGTCTGGGGCCTGGGCTGCCCCCAGACTGTGACCTTCAACTATCCGGCCTCTGCAGCATTGGTCTCGAGAATCTCTTAGTTACTTCCAGTTCGTGGGTTCTAAGATCCATAACACAGAGACAGCAAAACATGCCACTGCCGAGAGTCAAGTTCGCCTCCAAAAATAGTGCCGTTTCATATCTGTGAAAGATAAACAGCAGCCTGTAACCTAGGAGTTCCCAATCAGAGCAGATCTACTTTAGATCTTGGAGCCTCCCGAGCTGGCTGCTGCTATGGCAGACATAGAATCTTCCTCATGCTCTCCGTGTGGCTGGCGTTCTCAAGGTAGGAAAGGCAGAACGCGTTCTACTCTGACAATCTGCTACTCCAAAAAAACCATCTTTCAGAAACCTTGACACTCTTAAAAAAAAAAAAAAAAGGCAGTGAAGAGGTATTCAACTCACAATAGACAGAACTCTGACAATTCCTATTGTTACTGGAGTGAGAGAGGTAGTGTTAAGGCAACAATTAAAATACGCATTGCTCAGGTATCATTCACACCAAAGAGGGAAGTGACTTGCCTACTGGCTGATCCAATACCTGAAAGAGAAAGAGCCAGGAAACTCTTGTGGTTGACCCTCAACATCACATCACAGTGAAAGAGCAATATTGGAAAGCCTAGGTGAAGCACTGAGGCTTGCTTTTTTTTTTTTTTTTTCAGTGTGAGGTTTGAAAATACTTACTATCAAGGATATACATGGTGTAGCAACACCTAGGAACAAATATCCTTGTTGGTTTGGGCATGGAATGATGTCTTTGAAAAGCATATCGACTTCAAGATCAGTGTAATGGCCTATATTGATTTAAAAATTTTGACTGTGTTCTCTCCACCCATTTAGCTCAAGACAGAGGTAATGGATTTGTTAAACATTTGGCTCTCCACACCCAAATGAGTTGTATTTAAGGTTGTATTTCAACATGGATTTTGTCTGGGATACTTCATAGATGTTAACCTCTTGAGAAAGACATCCTTATTCAAAAGTTATCTCAACTTGCTAGGATTACAAATGGTACCAAATAACAACACAGAACCTTTTCAGCTGAGTTTTGCAAGTCTTCTGTCATAGTAACTACCAGAATGACTGGTACTAATTTAGTACTAATTTATCAGTACTAATTTATCTGCAGCCTTTTGAAAACTGCTTCACACAATCAATCAATCAATCAATCAATATAAATAAATTAGTCTGACTTTACGAATACTTATTTTGGAAAAATGTTTGAGATGCACAGACAACCCATTAAGTTATAGGCCATATCCATATCCCTGTATCTATAGGTGATCAGGTTTATCGAAAACTTTCAAGAGATTATATTCCCACTATGCCTATAGTTGTAAAATGCAACCTACCTTTAAAAGGTTCATTGAAAACCCCTCCAGAGGAACTCTGTGTCATTCCTTCATGGACTCTCTCTCCTAGTATCTTTCTCTGTTTTCTCTAGATACTGTTTTATTTATACTTATCTTATTGATCGTCTTCAGTCTTTTACAACTTTCCCAATTCTTGCTCATCCTTGTAATAGTCCCTCTTCACCTGTCTTCTCTACTCCTTTCTCTCCTGTCTCTTCTCTGTGATTATTCAATAGAGATCTGTGTTTTCTATTCTTAATTGTAAAGATGATGAGAGGAATACATTTATATAATTTCCTAGGAAGATTACAAATAAAACCAAATTTAATGTTTTGGTTTTTTAGTTTTCTTTTTATAACCTTTCATTAATTCTTTTTCTGTTTTTTACAGAATATATTTTCCTACCTCTGGTGTAAAACAATATCCAAAATAACTGAAGAGGTATTTGTATTAAACATAAGCAAAAGAATAAATACGCTTAATGGAGGAAACAGAGCTACAGAAATTAAAGTTATTCTTTTCTTATTGTAAAAGACTTTTTGGAAAATCAGGGTGTTTTAAAGGCACAGTTAAAAATTTCTACAGTTACTATCAATAAGTCGAAATCTATTTGGGTCTACTAAATAATTTATACATTTTTTTCCAAAAGAATTTTAAGCAGTCTATAAAAATATATACTTTTTCTTTAAATTTCCTTTTTCTTTTACTTTCATACTAATGAATAACATTTGTGAAATAATGGATTTGATGTGACTGCTATGTGTGTGTATGTGTGTGTGTGTGTGTGTGTGTGTGTGTGTGTATCTTTATCTGTAATATTGATCCACACATCACTTCAAATCATTTTGTGGTTTGATTTCCCACTTTAGTATGAAGGAAATACGATATCTCCATTCTGCTCAGAGAAAGCAAATACTTTTTTTTTTTTTAATATTTACTTTGAGAGAGAGAGAGAGAGCGCTTGCACAAGTGGCAGGGGGAGGGGCAGAAGGAGGGAGAATCCCAAGCAAGCTCCGTGTTGTCAGTGCAGAGCCCCATGTGAGCTGATATTATGAACAGTAAGGTCATGACCTGAGTCAAAATCAAGAGTTGGACACTCAACCGACTGAACCACCCAGGCGCCCCGGGAAAGCAAATACTTTTATTGCAGATTACTACACAGTCAAAGCAGCGAGCACAAAGAAGCACTATTTGAAGAGTTACAGCTTTAAGTATCAGAAAACCTTTTTACCAGGATGTTCTTTGAACTTTTTAGTTGTCAAGAGTCACATGCACAACACAGTCTTTATTGCACTCGATTAAGCGCACACCAGGACAGGTTATCTGACTCCTCTCATGGTTCTATCAACAGTCTCTCGTTCTAAGAACAGATCTATGATGTCAGCCCTTAATCTAACTCACTCCCCCACCTCCTTCCTTTCCTCACTATCTTAAACCATGCCATGCTGAATGGTTAAGAGCCTGGGTCAACATGCTGTGGTTATATAAACACCCACTATTTCTGTCTTATGGGAATGCTTCCCCTGTGAGTTACTCAATATGTTTCTCAGTTCAGAGAATGCATCTCGTCTCTGGGCTTGCACTGAAAATAATACCGTTTAGCCTAATCCCAGTGACAAAAATGCTAAACCTTTAAGCAGGACAGCAGCACGCACCACATGATAGAAGTCCGATTTGAACGGGGCACCCAGCAGCTTGTGACCAAGCCAGATGTAGTGCGGAGGTGAAGAGTGACAGAAGCGAGGGTGGTCAAAGACACCTGGCTCCTTGCTCTGTCACCCTGGGTAACTCACCTTCCTTCGCCAAGCCACCATCTTCTCAATGAACAAGTCAGCTTTAATTATTTCAGAGGCTTCTTCTAATTCCGATTTTAAGCTCTTCGTGAAGTGCTCTTTAAATTCCAAAAGGGAAAGAACATTACCTCTGGCTTTCACCACTGATACACTTAGTGCCTACAGCACTGCCATACAAGGTGCTTACAAGATATTTGCTGAAAGAAGAACCAAGTGGCAAGTTTACCACTACCATTCTAAAGTGGCTGTAATTAATTTAGGAGAATCAGGTTCTCTTTCTGCCCTGGGGTGAGGTATTTCTTAAGCAGTCACAAAATTACTTATTACCTATCTGTCCAAGTCTGGGAGGTAGAGATAAGCAATTAGGAAAGGATTGACCCTTGAGAAGGCGAGAAAGGGCCGTGGAAATATTTTTAGGGAGCAAACACACTAGGCAAAATAGTACCACGATGGGTACTCGCTTTAAGGATTACAATTTATGCCACAAAAGAGGACATGCACATGTAGTAAAATTCAAGAGACTTTGGAGTGGGATTTAGGCTGCATCCCCCGGCCTCCATATTGATTGGTATTAGACTGAACTCCCACCCTTGCAAAGTACCAGGACCTGTTCACGCAAGTCTGAGGGGACTGATGGCACAGGGAGGGAGAGAAAGAAGGTAACTGCCCTACCCTCTCTTGTTCTCTCACCTTTCCCATTGCCTTTTTACACTTCAGTAGCATCTGCCATATTGCAATCACCATGAATCACTCAAACCCCAACAATCACAAGTACCCTGGCTGTTCTCACCACAGCATCCCAAATCCAAGTGAAGGGGAAGAAGGCCACGGGTATGTCTGCTGACCACGTGTGAAAACGAGGGGTGTTGCAAGATTCAATTTTCTTCCATTCTACAGGAGGGGAGTCCTGGTGAGGACTGCAGCTAACGGGTAAAAGCAGCCAACAGGCAGCTTAAATGGTAGAGCCTCTGGAAAGAAGGAAAGCCGCCCTATTAGGTTCTCTGTGAAACTATGCAGCCTCCACAGCTAAGGATTTTAGCCCCACTCTTGCCCGACACTCTGTCTCTATCCTGTTCCCCTTCCAGGGCTTTCCTCATACTCGCTTTCTTCTTCCCCAGCCCCAGCTCTGAGCGAGCCCTTGATCGAGACCACCAGAAAACCACTAGCTGCTGAAATCTTAACAACAGCCTACAGATGAAGGAAACCCACCAAGATGGAGGGAGTGGGGGC